TCGATGTGCTGCTTGAATTGGAAGGTTTTCCTCTCAGTGCGCAAAGGAGGTGGCGGATTTCACATCTCTGCGTGTGTGATTAAGAGAAAATGCTTAAGAATTTGCTAGCCTGGTTTTTGCGCGTCATTGCTGTTTTTGTTGGATGACTGAAAAAATATATAGGGAACTGATTATGGGGGTTTGACCACTGCCCCTGAGAAACAATTGCGTATTTTTTTTGCATTGTTTGGTTTTGGTGTTTGGTTGCTAATTGGTTTTGCTTTTGGCGAGAGATCCCTTTTTGCTTGAATACAATTGATGTTGTGGTCGAGTAGTTTTGCTTTTGTTTGTTTAGTGTGATTTATTGTGTCGATTAGCTGAGATTTTTGCTTAACTTAGGTTTCTTTGTTTGCAATTTCATTTTTATCTGGACCGGAAAGTGTATTATTATAAGGTTTTTGCATTTGAACTCTCCAAAAAAACACAACTTATCCAATTTTCTTTGTGTCCATCTAGGCTTGTAAAGCTCGATTTGTTGATCATTTTAGTATACAGCAAAGTTAACATTCATAAGTAAAAAGATTTTTTATGGAGGAAATGCTAAAACTGTTTTTTATTAAAAATAACTTAGGTTTTTCGGTATTTTAGCCATATCGGAGTTATTTGGAAACTTTATTTTGAAACAAATTGTACCAAAATGTTCAGCTCAATTCGCTCTACAAGATAAAATAGTTTCAAATTACTTAAAGCCATTTTCCAATGACTTGCTGCAGTAAATGCGCTAAAAAAGTAGGCGCCTTGATCTAAAAATGGCTACATTCTGCTGGAATCTGCAATACATGGTTTTTTAGAGCGAAACGTACTCTAAAAAACCCTGTACCATTTTTCAAATACTGTCAAAAACCTTGCTTAACAGTTCAGGACGAAAACATATCTGGGATGCTCTTACGCAACTCCGCCCAATCAATACACGACACTCTCCCGGCCCGATTTCACTATGCTAGTTTTGTAGCCCATGTCGAGTTTTGCATGAAAACATATTTTATTTGTCACAAAACCATGCGGTAAATCCTGCATAGAGGGCTCAAAACACGATTTTCTTCAAAGCCTAACATAGAAATCGATAACTCTCGATTTTTCCGAAGATAATAGGAAACCTTTAATTGTGCCAGTCGGTAGAGCAAACAAAATTATCTACATGTCGTAGGTTTTAGATATGTACTGAAAAATTTTGAAGGATCAGAGCAGCTGCAAAACTAGAAAATTTCGGTTTTTGCTAAAATGTTAAAAAAAATAATTGAAATTTTTGAAGAATTCGAGTCATCATTGTAACGGGAAAATGTTTTGGTCGCGTAAATATTGTTTAAAGAACTATCGAGATATATAGAATTGCGTATATATCCTGATAGGATGATGGACAACAAAGTGTAGATCAGTATCAGCTATATATTTTAGCCACTGTGTGTATAATATTAACAACAATTCCACACGATGAGCTTATTCTTGTCCAAAATGAGTTCTGCGTGTTGTCTTTAAATACAACCGAATACAATCGTTCGTATTACAAAGCACAACTTTCTTCTAACTTGGCTTGTTTAGAACTGAACTCGACTCAATTGCCCTTTTACTGCTCTAATACTATCCAATACTGCTCCTCTGACACTGTTGCTATAGTGCCCTCCATTTCACATAGAACGCGAGTTTATCTACTAGAGAGAGAATAAGGAAAATACAAGTAGGAGAGAAAGAAACAGAGAGAAAATAAGATACATAGAAACAAACGTTCTTGAGAGAGAAGGGGATACGAAGAAAGAAAAAGATATCTAGAGAGAAATGATACACAGAAAGATTACGTATTGTTCAGTGGACGATAATGTGTTGTCATATGCAAGGATGAGTATTAGTGATTAAAACTTAATGACGTCACTGCAGTATGTTCATCAGCTCTATGACTTACAAGTGAACGTCCGGCGGTTCATATAACCCCTATCTAATTTAGTCCTTTACGAGGGACGTACTTCTTGGTACCATCATAATTTATACAATTCTAGAACAGGGAAGCTAATACTTCAACCCGATGTAGTACCTATAGAGGGCTGCTAAATAAAATAATTTGAGCTAATTCTGACGCGCAGTGCTCGAGAAAATCAAAGTTCAATACACTGTTTTCAGAAATCCTCCGTTTTTACAAGCCGTACATTGCGACCAAAGAATTTATTCTGAAAATCTAATCGAACTAATTCGAATTGGCATTGACTTAGCTTCATTTTCTTCCCAACACATTATGTTCTCCACGTCCACATCGAGGTTTTCTAGACGCCTCAATTTTGGCAAAAATCGGAATTTTCTGGTTTTTGCAACTACTTTGATGCTTTAAGATTTTTCAGTACATATCTAAAACCTATGACATGTAGATAACTTTGTTTGCTCTACCGACTGGCACAATTAAACTTTTTCTATTATCTTCGGAAAAATCGAGAGTTATCGATTTCTATGTTAGGCTTTGAAGAAAATCGTGTTTTGAGTCCTCTATGCAGGATTTACCGCATTGTTTTGTGACAAATAAAATATGTTTTCATACAAAACTCGACATGGGCTACAAAACTAGCATAGTGAAATCAGACCGGGAGAGTGTCGTGTATTGATTGGGCGGAGTTGCGTAAGAGCATCCCAGATATGTTTTCGTCCTGAACTGTTAAGCAAGGTTTTTGACAGTATTTGAAAAATGGTACAGGGTTTTTTAGAGTACGTTTCGCTCTAAAAAACCATTTATTGCAGATTCCAGCAGAATGTAGCCATTTTTAGATCAAGGCGCCTACTTTTTTAGCGCATTTACTTAAGGGAGGAGTCCATCCGGTTTATCGTTTCGGTGGGAAACGATAGAAAAAAGCTTCAAACTTTTCCTATCGCTATACGTCTACGTCCTTTCTATAAGTCTTAATCTTGTATATATCTATGTGTATCTCCAAATCTATACATCTAAATCATTACGTCTTAATCCTTACGTCTTAATATATGATCTAGCACTTCTTAATCTATACGTCTTAATATATGATCTAGTACTGCTTAATCTTTACGTCTTAATCTATACGTCCTAACATATACGTCTTATTCAATACGTCCTAATCTGTACGTCTGAATCTTATACGTCCGAATCACTACGTCTTAATCTGTACGTCATAATCTGTACGTCCTAGCATGTAAGTTTAAATCTAGTACGTCTTAATCTAATAGGTCTTAATCTTTACATCTAAATTAATAGAGAAAAATCGTCACACCTCTTCTGGCTTACCCTATCTAACGATAACATGGAATTTTAGCATTATCACCTGGGATGTAAGTGGCATCATCTGAAATGCTAGTAACATCACCAGATATGCCAGTAGCATTACCTGGGATGGCAGTAAAACACCTGAACTTCTAGCAACATTGCCAGAGCCTCTAGCAACATCACGTAGGATGCTAGCAGCACTGCGCGGGATGCTAGTAGCATCACCTGGACGTCTAGCAACGTCATGTAGGATGGTAGCAGCACCATGCAGACTACTGTTGGCATCACCTGTGAAGCAGCTGCATCCGAAATTCACATGTTGAACGCCGTGATGGCTGAAGGCAGATGCCACTGTGTATACAGAGGCAAGCGTTGGTCGCGGCTCTGTGGGTGTGGGTGGGCGCCCCCACGCCGCGACACTTAAATAAAGGGCTGTTGTGGTTACCCATTGTTTTTCTATGCATAATATCGCATTACTTATAATCGTGCGATATCTGCTCTTTGTTTCCAGAGTTTATGTGGGACGTAATTCGAATTTGACAATTAATGTGCGTCTCAGGCAATGCCTGTAGCATTCCAAGTGAGGGTTAATTGGAGGAATACTTATGGATGGACATAAAGATTTATTGATACTGATTTAGACACACTACATTAGGACGTAATGATTAGGACGTATAAGATTCAGACGTACTGGATTAGGGCGTATTGAATAAGACGTACAGGTTAGGATATATAGATTAAGACGTATAGATTAAGACGTAAGGATTAAGACGTAGTGATTAGGACGTATAAGATTCAGACGTACTAGATTTAGACGTACATAGTTGGATATGATAAATAAAGTTGTGCTGAAATCACAATGCCTGTGGCTGAAATATCAGTTTATTGGGGATTTAGACGTACTCTAGACTCCTCTCCGAAATCATCTTCTGTTTTTCTATGAGCGTTTCCCAGAGTAATCATAAAGCGGATTATATGTAAGGGAGGGGGTCGTGGATCATGGATTTTCGATTTTATGGTCTCATTCGATAGAGCACATTTTGCTACATATATTCTCCAAATTTTATGTTATTCCGATTCGGCTAGCGTCAGTTATAATCAGATCAAGGTCAAATTTTTGCTCAAAATTATGCTTCTGATTGTATTTAGTTTTGAAGTGACTTCGCTCATAAAGTAGAAATGAAATAAAACTTTTTCTATATGAATCAATAGACAATTCTTTGCTCTATCTAACGCATTTTAAAGGAGCTTGAAAAAATGCTCTTTGTTTCTTATTTTACAGTGAATACTTTGGCTGAAACAGCATTTTTTTGCTCTCCAATCACTTTCAACTGCTTTTCACGATCATAAAGAACTTCAAAAACGGTAAATTCCAGCTTCGCCGAATCTTTTTTCACCGACGATTATTTTCGCCGACTCCAACTTCGCCGAATAAAAATTTTGACCGAAAAATATCGAATCAAATCTGATCCACTCTAGATATAGAATTTTATGCTAACTAACTACTTTAATAGTGAGTTGATTAATTAACCCCATCTGAGTTGGTAACCAACTGACTTGGTAACCATCTGACTTGGTAACCATCTGCGTTGATAACCCACACCCACACCCACACCCTCTTTTTACAGTCGCACTTTCTATGCTTCGTTACATTGATCGGCTTCTGTGTTTGTTTGGTATCATGGGAAAATGCTGTACATTAGATATTATTTTTATGGTTAGTGTTGCACACGTGTATAAAAAAAATGAACTAAAAATAGTGTTGATAATGAGATGATTGACGACGATGAATTAAATCTTTATTTTTTGTTAATATGTTACATATACGTAAAATATAAGATTTAATTTCGATCAGCATTATTTTTAAATTTCTACGTAATTGATAATCAAGATTAGCGATGAGATGATAGTTGTCATCGAGTTGTGGTCGTTTAAATAGTTCCTTATTAGCGAGAGCACGTTGCTCACGGTAATCAACAATTTGACCCATGTAAGCAATACAATTTGTTTTCATCGAAGCTATTTCATCGAGAATTTCATTTTGTACAACCGTAGAAAAATCATGACTGTCGCTGTAGGATGGAATTTCTAATTCAAGCCAAACGGTTAAATATTCGACGATTTCAATAAAATTACGTAATTAATTTTGAACGGGACTAATAATAAGATTTAAATTTGTATTTTCATTCTGGGAAAAAATATCAGTTTGTAGAAAATTTTCAATATCATGTGCATTTTCAACGAGACTTTTTAATGATTTTTCAGCTTGTTGTTTGATATTTGTGTAAAGTTCAGTGAAAATCTTTTCATTTTTATCAATATCCATTGATTTTTTGTTTTCTTTCAAAATGAACTGAAGAATAAATGAATATGAAGATAGAGCGCCAATTTATTGTCTAGCTGATATACCTCTTTCTATCAAGTCAATTAATTATGATCAGAACTTTTGGGAGCATTGGTTTATGATTCAGGAAATGAAGCTTTCTGACCATCTATTTGCCAAAGAGTCTGTTCCCATAAAATCACATTGAAATGAATTTTAGTCAAATCATTGTCAACAAAGTGCATATTTGAAAGGGTTCCATGCTGAGTGGAACTCCAACAACAAATCCTTTGAAAAATAAACGCTAACAATTGAAGTAAGACATGAAGAGGGTGTGTGGGTGTGCGTATTCGTTACATCCGCACCCACACCCACCTTCCAGCAGAAATAAGTGTTTACGGCATTACTGTCATACGTGATGAAACATTGATCGGTTCGAATTATTTTTTGGTGAAATAGAATTAATCCTTTTAACGATGTTTGTAAACATTGTAAAAAAAATGATGAACTGATGAATTTGAGATTCTACTAATTTGATATTCTTGTAGCAGAGCATTCGATGAATACATAGTGGGTTCTTTCTTTTTATTCACATTTATATAGATTCTTCAGATTGCATGTGCTTATCAAAATAATGTTGGTTTTCGAGAATTTAAATAAAAATATACTTGCAAACATCGAAAGCTCTTAGATCTCGATGTTTTAAAATATACTGTGCTAATTTAATCAATTATTAATCCTAAGTACTTTTTAAAACTTTGTATTTAAAGCAAGCCAGTAAATCCAGGGGTTACAACTACACTTTGTTGTATTTTAATGCAGAAAATCAAAAGTTAACAATATCGTTCGGCAGCAATGTATTATACTAAACGTAAGGTACGAGTAGTAATGTAAAACAAAATGTGCGATTGTTGAAAAGAAGAAATGATATGTTTAGAATCGACGAATATCGATTAATCGACAACTCGCGGCCACTATCGATGGTAGTCGTCGACACAGTAACATGTGAACTCATTTTAGTTCATGTTTTAATTTGAAAATGATCATTGAGTATGAAAACTAAACACGGCTATTTTTTCAGAAATGTGTAATTATTTGTATAATCGTTGTTGGTTGTACTCTTGAAAGAAGTGGGGCTGATTAGAAATAACAGGTCCATTTTGATTGGTCCAGCGGAAAAAAGTTCACACAAGGAAACAGAAAAATAATGAATCATTTACACTAAGAACTAGTCACATTGTTTTTCTTTTGGATATTGCAGTATCCGAATGCTTGAGAGAAACAAAGAAGTTTGCTTTTTTTCCCTTTGTTTCAGATATAGAACTGGCGTCTGTTAATCCGATATCTTACACGTGTATTCGATGTTCGTTTGTGACGGATCAGATACTTGAAAGATGCTCAATATTGTTCAATAACAACTACGGTATCTGGGGTGATGATGCCCCTCTTCATAGCAACAATGCATTAAAAGCCGGCACTCGTGTTAAACTTGAAATCAAGCGTCTTCGTGAGATGATGCTGTTCAACGATCGCTGTTTTCTTGTCATTGGAGAAATACGTTCATTTGATAATAATCAGTTTGAACTGATCGGATACACCTTCTGCACATCGGCTAAATACGATCGATTAAACGGCGATGCCATTTGGATTACCCAATTGGTTGTTAGCGCTTCTTACCGAGGTCAAGGTGTCGCCGGAACCCTGCTTTCCATGGCTAAGAATAGCATTGCAGATGCTGTCATCATTGGACTCGTTTCTTCACATCCGCACGCAGTGATCGCGCTTTCGAACGCTTGCAATTGCATTCCAATCGACTTGAAATTTATTGCTGATCATGCAGAAGATGTCATTCGAGCGTGCCACGTTCCTTATCTTTCACAGGCTCAACTTGTCGGTTCTATTTTCAACAGTCAACCTCTTCTCACTGAAAATAACAATCAGCAACCTGTTTCGCTCGTCAAAACAGACTTTTTCGTTGATCACAAGGAAGTCTTGGCCGTTCTCGAACATATTCGCGACAGGTGGATTCTCGGACCTCTTTTGGATGGTCACGAATTTTTCGCCGTGTTGCCAGCCACCTGCGTTCGCCATTCAAAGACTCGGTCGAGTGGATCTTCATGTAATAGTTCACCATAAGAAAATAATCAACAACATCTTCTCAAAGTTAATAGATGAGCAATGAAGTTTTTTTTGTACAAGATGACATTTTATGTATTGTTATTGAATTTCTGTTACCATCATTTTCATATCAACTTTAGTCGGTTACTATCGACCAAGATCATGTTCTCATAAGAATTGTTCAAACAGAATAGCTGTTTATCAGTATAAGTTAAGTGGAGTACGAAACCTTATAACAAATTTTAAGCAGAGGGAATAGAAAAATGAAGTTGTTTTGTTGTTTGAAATTGATTCGTATGTCAACGAGTGTAGGTGTAATATAGCCATTAGATGGAATTCATCTTCGATAATCTTTCATTCGATGATCATCGAAACAATGAAAAAATTGATCAGTATTCTTTCATGTCGAATGATGATGGCTTATAAAAACGAAAAATATTATATTCTATAATGATCAGATCCTGATCACCAATAAAATCTTTCAGAATTAAAAATCAATAAAAGGGAAAATGAATAGAAATGAATGTAATTAGTTTTGCTAATTAGTTCTTGAAGATGATTGAAGATAAAACCATCATTCTCAAGATAGTTTCTGGATTGTAAGAAGTTCTTGCTTTACGATTATTAAACAGAAATCTGGACGAAGGTTGCATATACCGGGATGGTGATGTGAGCTGTTTCTGATAAGAATGTAGACTTGATTAATGCAATCTTTGTGAATGAATCGGAATTGTTAGGTTTTACCGATGTAGAGAAATATTTCAGGAATCAAATGAACGATTTCGACCAGCAACTCAAAATAGATTAAGATAAAGTTGAAAGAATTTCTGGAGAAAGAATAGCATTCATGAAAATAAATTACCAACAATATTTTCTTCATATAAATATATTAACAAAATACTATACTCATAAAAAAAACAACAATGTATCATTATGATCAGAGATGTCGATAGGCTACTTTTTTCGGCTTGATCTGTAGGTATTTGACAGATTGAGTTGTGTGTGAGTATCAATGCATTACAGACTCACACCCTCTTTGTTATGACTTGTGGTGAGTGTGGATTTTCTGTCACAGTGGGGGGTCGAAATTTTTACTTACAAGCTTCGACATACCTTTTAGATCATGCTTCACAAAATGGCGTTTAAGGCAGCATCTTTTGAGTGATGGCTATCTTTCAGATGCATTTTTACCAGGTTCGACTGAAATATGATCTTCCTCATAAGAGCGCTTGATGTCACTTGTATCTTAAATTTAAGTAGGTTTACTATATGATGATTTATTTATAAAGTATAACTGAGTATTGCGACGAACGTGAAAATGATTGAGAATAATTTTCTTCTCTTCACTTAAAAAAAGAATTATTTTTCCATTTCTTTCTTTGCATTCATCTTACTCATTCTTACGCATCAGTTAAATACGCACATGCTACTTGTTTTTTATATATTACTTAGACAACAGCGTCAACAAGAATTCTAAGTGGCATCATTCTCTTGGTAGCTCTATTACGCATGATTTATTATTGATATCTGAGGAAATAAAATAAGTGGTGAGTAATGATTTCTTTTCTATTATTATTATTATTAGAATATGTCAGACGACGATCAATGTTCAATACATACAACTCATTGTCCTTGCACGATACATTATTTAATTACTACGAAACACTAAATAAAGTTTCATGATAGTTAGCTGTTGAGTTCTTTTGCAAAGCTGAATGGCAGACGAGTCCCATTTACTTGATTCTCGACGAATCGTTTCAGCCTGCTAAAATATTTTCTATTTGAAAAACAAATGCTTGTAAAAATAATGAATCAAACTTTCTCTTTTTAAAACACAATTAGAAACTAAGGAGATGAAAACGTCTCTTGCTCTGCCACATCTATCTTTAGGAGATCAACAATTATTTCAATTTCTGTTCGTATTTACTGCAGCTTCAGTTGCGTGCCATGTGAAATGTCAGACTGGAATGAAGAATAACTACATTGAGTCAACCAAGTATTTTTTCTTTCGCTGCCTGATATTGTATTTAAATTTTAGTTTTGATCAGTTCAAACAAAGGCAGGAAAACGTATTGAATGGTTTTGGAAATCGAACGATAATCCATTTTCAAATGAAGAATCAGCGGAATGGAATCGATATTCGGATGTTGAAAATACCATTATCGAAGAAGCATTTTCGACATTGAAGAAAACTCACGTTATTATCGACGATTATCATATTGATTTCGAGCATCGAGTTCAAATTGCAAACGATGACAAAACTAAACAACGTCCAATCAAGCGAGTAGAAATGAACAAAGAAGAAGGAGGACGATTGCGAGAAGCACGTTTCATGCCAAATCCAATAGTTCCTAGCAGTTCGTTTCATGATTTAGTTGGATTGAGAAAGATTTTTATCGACAGTTTCATGAAATCCATCGATCTTAAATCTGTCAACGATTGGGAAAAGCGAAAATATGAGATTGTAGAGAAAGCAAAATTGGGAATTCTGCATGAAGGACAACTCGTTGGAAAACAATGCGAAGCGAAATGGATTGTTGAACAGTTAGAAAAAGTCAAAGACAAAACAAAGAAAGACATTGGCGAATGTTGTGTCTATATTTATACTCTTGAATCATTTCTTTACAAAATTCTCAATCACGCGATGCGTCTCATTGGTGACATAGATCATGAAAATAGCTGGCAAAGTAAAATAGAAACGTTAGGTCCATTTGCTTTTCTTCTCTACTATTATTTATCTTACGAAAATCTAACCCATCGAACAAATACCACCGTGTATCGAGGTGCTCAATTGACCGATGAAATGATCGCTGCATATCAACATGTTGCTCGTAGCAAAGATCCACGAAGATCATTTCAAGCATTTACATCGTGTAGTCGCAACCGAGCAAAAGCCGAACAGTTTGGCAATGCTTTATTTGTACTGAATGCGGAAAATCGTATTTCATATCGTACGTTGAACATGGATATTTCTGCTCTATCTACTTATCCGGACGAAGAAGAAATACTCATACGACCAGGACGATCGTTTAAAATTGAACGTGTTGAATTCGACAAAACGAAAAACAAACATATTATCTATTTAACGTCGATATCAACAAGCGATGCAAACTAAATATTTTGATCATTTGTTCTTATAATTATTTTGTACAGCGATATTTTTCAAAGAGATTTTGATTATTTAAACGTTTTATTTACTTTGATATATAGTTGAATACAGCGTTTACTTCGAAATCGATCGTATTTAATTTTAATTTTAACAGTTAATCTTTCCAAAAAGTAATATTGGGTGTGGGTGTTGGAGCGAGTGTCCGTATGGATATGATGCGAGTGACCATATAGAGAAAATTCACATCCTCACCCACACCCACCCACCCCACACCCACTCACACCCACATTCACACCCACACCCACACCCTTGCCAGTTTAAAAAAAACAAAAAACCAAGAACGCACTTGGATAGAGAATAATTTTCTTTATCTACTAGTATCTATGCTATATCTAGCCCCATCAGAAAATCTGAGGATCAATCATCTGTGATTTTCTATTGATTCACTTTTTTCTTTGTGTTTTTTCGGCTCAGCGTCCATACCAATCTCGACAGTTTTACAAACATACATAGTGCGAAGAACAACCTGATCAAAAACATTTGTCATATTTCATAAATTAAATCAAATTAATCCTTTCCAAAGGAAATAATACGATTGTTGACGGTTAATTTATAATACGTAAACGAACCAAATTCCAGCATAGTTTTATGACAGTTACCTCCGAATTGAGTAGTAATACATATATCAAAAGATTTTAATCAATTTCACTTAATTTCCAATTCATTTTTTTTTTCTATCTAAGAAATGATTAGTTATAATTAATCCACTGAAATCATAGAGTTTTCGATTAAAATAAATTCTTATTAATTATCTGTATTATTAAATCATCGTACAATAAGATATCGTCGGTAACTATATATATTATTCAATGCGGAAGTTAAACATGATTATTTTTTGTTGTTGTTATTGTTGTTGTTGTTATGATTTAAAAATAAAAGAAAAGAAAGAACGCGATTACTTATTTAATTAATAAATTATTCAATTCAATATCGCACATTGATTTAACAACAATCTTTATAGTATTGAAGAAATAAATAAGTATAAATTCTCTTCATTGACTTTGATTATCATCAATGTTTTATTTAGAGGGTTGCTCGGGGGCGCCGCGTTCCCCCGAAAATCAAGTTCGCCCCCTAGAGACTTGTGATCATCGCACTACGAACATACGGCTGGCTCTCCCGAAAATAATTTTTCGCCTCCTCGGAATTTCAAATCACCTCTCCGGAGAAAAAAACCTGGATAAAAAACACTGATTATCATTATCATTCATTCTTGTTTTGTTTTGTTTTGTTTATTATAATTTACGATTAATAAGAATTATTCATATATTTTATCATTGATGTATTGTTTTCAAAAATCGAATAAACCAAAATCAGTTATATTTGATGAAGCTCATCATGCACGACGTGTACGAATTGGTCAAGAACAATTTTAATCTTTTTTTCCAGAATCATCTTTAGAAAAATTTCTTATTGTTTTCTATGATAATCGAAGGAAAATTTAATGTTCTTTTCAAAACGATATATGAGTTTATTTTGACAAAAGACATCTAAAGGTTCTCAGAACTTTTTTCTATAATATTGAAAATTACACAATAAATATTCTTGAAACATTACATTTGCATTAGTCATTATTTATTTGAATTTCTTAATAAAAAAAAAATAAAGAGAATTAAAAGCTACAAAAGTCTTCATCTGTTCTCTGTGTATAGATTGGAAAAGTTTTTAATTCAAAAATAAATTTTCTTTTCTTTTGTTAACTGAAAATTTCGTTCGTTCTGATGATAGTTTCAGAGAACTATAATAATGACGAGGTGAAAGTTCGCGATCTACGATATGTATTGAAAAGTTCCAATAGAAAAATTTTCTGATATACTTATGCATGGGTTTCTTTTCAAGTAATCGAATTAATCTTGAAGACATTTCTCGTATTCTTTTAGGAACTTTTTCCAAAAATGCTTCGCTATTTTTCTAAATTCAACCTTTTTCTAGATTAAAATCAAACTTCGAACTATTATTTATATATCTTGTTGCACATTATTTCATCATTAAAATTTTCTTTTCTACACAATTTCAAAGTCAATATCAATCGTTTCTCAAGAATTTCTATGTCGAGGTCACCGTCTATGTTTTAGTTGCTTGTTTCTTCAGTCTTTCTCTCAATATCTGTCGTTTCATTGCATAGATGTTATGTGATCTTTCTTGACAAAACATAACGATGTACGTATGTATCCTTACACATATCTTGACAATGCATACTTTTCTCAGACTTT